CTCTTCCTTTCCATTTTTGGGGTGGCAATTATAGTAATTTCGAGTTTGCCTTATTTTCTTTCTATTTGCTGCGGAGGAGGTATCCAATATTAAAAAAAAGAAACAAAAAAAAAACAGATTACACTAATGTGTGTCGGTGGCACAAATTATATACGTCCAAAACGAGAATCATCTGGGCAACATTTGTAAGGTACATATATACACACACACCAGAGGAAAATGTGATTACGTCGGACCTGTCATTACAGACGGACTAAACGAATTTAAATTGCGTGATGAAAATTAGAGAAACTTTTGTATTAATTCCCCGGTTGCGCAACCCGTCGTTCTTGGTCTTTGTTCTCCGTACTCCTGTTTTCTCCGTAGGTGGTACACGCCTGTTTGCGCAAATTGGTTTCATGTTTTTTGACCAATCGAGGCGAAGTCAAAAATAAAATTGCGCATTTAATGTAATAACAGACACTTCTTCTCCTCGTGCGGATAGCAGGAGAGAGTGTTCGACTCGAACGTCCAGAGTGTGTTTTTAGTGTGAAATAATGGCCGAAGCCATTCATGAATGAACAATTTGCGTAGGCCATATAATTTAATAATAAATAATAACACGTTATGCCCGCATAAACATTTTATAATGCACTTTATACTTCACCTGGAAACTTTAATCATTTATTTCCTTTAATTATATCTACACACATTTTAATCAACGACCAAACAAAAAGTCATAAAAACTTATTAATCCCATTTGCATTTACATAAAATTTAAATTAAAAACTAAAAACGAAAAACGAAATGACCGAGGAACACCGCATTTACTATTTCATCGTTGCTTTGTTTTATTCCCATTTCTTTTCTTGTTTGCCTCATCTTTTTCTTTCTATTAGTATACGGACGTATCTTAACTACACTTAAATTTATACCAGTTCATAAAACAACACGCATCCTGGCGACCGTAGTTATTTCAGTGCATAGAAGAAACGCCATTAAATTTGCTTTTTGTTTATTTTTATCATTATATAACATGAAACTTTTCATTCAATCTCGATTAATATAGTATAAAGACACTATTTCATGGATAAATATAAATAACTATAATGTATTGCTGATAAGAAAAGAGGATTTTAACTATCTTCATTACATATATTTACTATAATTAATAGTTTCTTTAAATTTATATTCATTGTGCGATCAACTTAATTACAAATGTGGATTCAATTACATAAGAGCAGTTGTCTACATTTCAAGCATTTCATTTTAATTTGTAATGTTTTATCGGAGACAAGGGACACAAACAAAACATTATATGCGGGAACACATGTTTAAACAAGCAATCGTTTAATTAGATATTTTATCAAAAGTAAAGTATCACAAAATTACTGATAGTAGTTGACAATTTTATAAAAAATATATTAAATAATTTAAATATAACTTATTAAAATAAAAATTAAACATATATTTTATATAGTAATGAATTAGAATAAAAATAATACATAGCAAATGGTACTTAAAATATAGTACTTTTTAGATATTATTAATAGGCTGGCCCGGGAACATAAATTTAATTTGTAATAAATTATTGTAATAATAATATACAAAAGAACAACAGAAGAATGAGTGGAACAAGTGTGTTGGGGCAAGTGTGTATAGGGATAATGTGGGATATTTAAATTTGGGAAGGATATTTGGGTTTCGAGAGACACAGAATTTAGAGAGGGAGGCTATGTTGAACTGTTTGGATTTAAATTTCAAGGATAAGGACAGGTATCGGTCGAGGAGATGGACTATTTACTTTTTAGATTATTCTAAAATTTTCAATTTCTAACTTTAAAAATAAATATATTGAATGAACTTGTTTCAGAAAGAGTACCGTTTAATACTTTGAAATAGTTTACACATTTTGAAGAAGATGAATAAGTGCCACTATGGTAGGATTATTTTATTCGCAAATATAATTGCGGTTTTTCTTTATTGTCACACACAAATATTTTAATATAACAGAACTATCTGGTATATGTTGCCAACGAACAGAACTGTTGGATTAATTTTATTACATACTTTGAATGTTACTACAAAATTTATATCAAAAAAAGTTCTATTCAAGTGATTAATTTGCAAACATAAAAACAATAATGAACATGAAATAACTTTCAATATAAAAGTGTGACAGATATGCATTTTAATAAAATTTATAGTAGTGCCATCTCACGATTGTTGATCTAAGTAAATTTTTGCCTTGTTTACTGCATTTTTATGGAATGATGAAATTTTTATCATTATTGTTTGTTTTATAAACATATTTCATTACTTTTTTTATAGTATTTAATTGAGTTGGATTGTAGCATATCTTAAAATGCAGATGGTTGTTTTTTACCAATCTCTTTTCATAGCAATCCAAACACGGCGGATAAAGGGCACAATGAAAATCGCCGTACAATGCGATTCGGTGGCGAAAGTTGGGTACAGCTCACTTTCTGGAGCAACGCATTCTCTGCTGATTTCACGCGTTTATTGTACATTTGAAAGGCTAACAAAAAGCCAAAAAGCGTTGTTTTCACGTGACCAAAACGACGGTTGCAATGGTAGAGAAAAGGAAATGAAAGAAAAAAATAAATAACAGGGGGAAGAGGTGAACCAAATCCCCATCGACAATAGATACCTGCCTGTGCTCCCTAATGATATCGTCTGCCGTGGTAATTGGTTCGATTTTTTACCGCCTCCGCTACACGAATCGAATCTCCACGAAAACATTTCATTCAATTTATTTTTATTTTCTTCTCTTTTTTAATTTCGAAAACGAAACCGATCACTAATAAGATTCTCTTACCCTTTACCACCTTCTCTTCCTTGCCTTCTGCCCACCTGAAATCACACAGGTGATATGCAATGGTCTTCATCCGACGTGCAGAGAATAACAACTTTTATTGCTCGGTCTCGATTTAATTGAATTTTACTTTTATAATTGAAAACAGTCAAATATGTATGTATGCACGTATCAATATATATGTATATATATTGTATACAAGTCTCGCAGTTCGAGTTTAATTAAAAACTCGTGGCCCAATTCCTGTGAAATTACAAATTTGTTCCGAGCCGTAGACATAATTGCTATTATAAATATCTAATTAAGGAAATACATTATATGTGTATTACTCAGAGACCGGCGTTTCGTCACGTTAATCGCGGCGTAATTATTTAATACTGATTGAAAAACTTTGCCCCAGTCGAGCGCTAATTCTATTGTGCTCGCCGTTTATTTCTATTTACGTAATAATCTGCTAATTTTAATCGGCCTGGACGATTTTATATAATGACATAATTACACGCCACGTACCTTTTATATAACCGAGTGTAAAAAAAACAATATATCGTTTCACGATTTATATTACATTACAATATAACAATTTCAAAACAACTGCGTAAATTATGAGTGAATCTAAAAATACTACAAGTTAAAGAAAATTTCGTGCATTTTATAAAATTTCATGATTAAGATAGTTCAGTTTTATGTAACAAATATTAATATTAATAAACTACAGATTTTGTAAGTTCTGGATAATATATCTATGTGAACAAATACCGTAATCTAATATTCCTAAATGAGTTATATCAAAATATTCCTATTGAATATTAATAGTTATAGACCGTGATGCCTGGATTCCTAAGGATGGTGGAACAGTGGAAATAAATCAAGAAATTTTAATTGAATATAATTTCACAAATTTTTAAAATAAAATAATTGTTTAATGCACAATTTCGAAAAAGATGCCTAGAATGAAGATTGAACAAGCAACATTGAAACGTTTATAATTATAATGAACATGTTGACATTTGAGTCATGCATTAAAATAAATCACTCATTTATATGCTCGTGTATTAATAACAAATAATTAAGTGTATGTCAGTTTAATATGTGGTATCAATCAGGAATAATCGTGATTAATATAATAAGTTTCTCCAAATCAAAACGCAAATAAACGGTAATTAATGACGACAATCGAAATGGAGATGGCTGAAAACTACGTGAAACGCAGGTTATTAAGACGAATAATTCCCATGCGATGGTATTCAATGCGCTTGCCTTTAATTAATCGAAAGTCGGATATGAAAATTCGAGAAAGGCTCCTCCAACCAACGTGTGGAAACCGAAGTCGAGGGCCTTTTAATTGCATTAGCATTTATATAAGCTCTGTGTTTTAGATTAATGAATTCTGGCAGTATTTTGTTGTTTTAATTAAAAAAACCAACGTGACTAATTACGTAATAGAATAATGAAGGTTCCAGCAGACCGAATAATATTTATCTCCGGTCGAAGGAGAGAGATACGAAACGACAGCAAAAACAACAAAAAACAGACAGAAAAAAATGCAAAAAACGAACAGAAGGAAAACGTAAGGTTTAAAAAAGAGAGTATCGTTCGGGATTATTGGAACGGCCGTTTAATAATTGTGTATGTTGGCAGCGGCATGAATGGGTCCCGGTTCTTCGTCTTCTTCTTATTCGGTGGTTAATTGTTGTTGTGGATGTTGCATAAAACCAAGGAAGCCAGAAATTGGTTGGGTTCGTACCGAAGAGGAGAGGAGAACAAACAACCCCTCACTTAAAAATTAACTTAATGGCACGGCCGGTAATTGTAAAATAACGAAGGTATAATTTGCAACTCGCAAAAAAATGGCACCTATGTCGTTTTCCAGGAGCTGGACGTTACATGTGTACAGGTGCACACGTGAAAAAAGAGACCCAGTGCACGCTACCACATGGTTTTCCAAGAAAAATGAGCGCAACATGGTCAATGACACTGTCAGTGCATTATTTTGTGCTGGCCTCTTTACGTGATGCATTATCGCGATTTACTTTTACGTTCTTTATATATAAACACACACACTCACTAACAAAGCAAGAAACAAGAGAGCTAAACAGAACTAAACAACCGATAATTGCCTAAGAATGTATCACACATATATAGACTCACAAGCATGTCTAATCAATGTTTTTTTTTCTCTTTGCAGGTTTGGTTTCAAAACAGAAGGGCCAAATGGCGCAAACAGGAGAAGGTCGGGCCGCAAGGACATCCCTACAACCACTATCTGTCTCCGACGTCCGGAGGTCCTGCCCCTTCCGTGGTGGCTCCATCGCTTCCGAACCCCTTCAACTTACCATTCGGTCTGCGTAAGCCCTTCGACTCCCTAACCTTCCGCTATCCGCCTCACGTACTTCCGGGCTACATTTCGGGGCCGCCTCATTACCACCGCGCCGGCGCTCCTTCATTGCTGCCTCCAGCTGTTGGCATCTACCCGACAACGTCCTTCCAAACCCTTTTGGCCAACATCTCGGCAGCTCAACGGCCCAAGTTACCAGCCCAGGAATTCCCCACATCTCCGCCACTTTCACCAAGTGCTTCCGCTCCAGTGTCGCCCCAAGATGTTGACAGAAGGAGCTCCAGCATAGCTTCTTTGCGTCTGAAGGCAAGAGAGCACGAGCTAAGACTCGAATTGCTTAGGCAAAATGGGGGAGACCTCATTAGTTAATCACCAATGCAAGTTTCAAGTGCAACCGAAAAGGAAGAGAAAATTAATATAAAAAAACATGTTAAAGCAAGAAGAAAATAATCCTTTGACACTTAAATACGACGCAATCCACACAATCGGATGGTGTTATGTGCATATATAAAGTATAAAATTGTAGTGTGATAAGAATTTTTGAATAGGCAACGTACTCCGTCCATGCTTTATTATTATATTAACTATTATTATTAATAAATTATTTTCGCTTATTTTGAAAATAATAAACGTAATTAACATTAATTTTATTCTATTTTAAGAAGAAAAAAATATAAATGTCTAAATGTAAAAAGCTATAAAATAATTATGTGAAAATTATCATTATTACTATTATTATCATCATCGTAATTATTATTATTGTTACTATTAATGTTTATTGTTTTTCTTTTAGTTTCTTCTTTAATTCTGTTTTAAGACTGTACATAGCAAAGAAAATAAAACGCTGTCGATTTTTAAGTTACTATGAGTATGTTTATATTTTTAATGTAGAAGAATTTGTATTTGTTCTAATATCATATATAATAATGGTAATTGATTAACTATAGGTTTAATGAAAGCAATCTCTAGTTTCTAGACTATTTTGTAAAGTTTATGTAAAGAATTCTAAGATACAACCATTTCCTCAGATGTTCGTGTTGATCCGTCCAAAAAAAAATCATTAATAACATAACAAAAAATATTGTATTTTGATTCTTTAAAACAATAAATATTTTATAACTATATATTAAATGTTTAATTAATAAAATACATCCACATTCAAGATTTATAATATCCAAAGTTGTTTTAAAATTGCAAAATAATTTCAATAATGTTTTTTGCAACAGACATTTAATTTACATAAATTAAAATAAATATGTATTTTTAAATTATAACAAAAACCGATTTATATTGCAAAATTCCATATCAAAAACCAATGGTTCGCGATATATAATTGACAGCATTGACTTTGAGCCAAAACGAGGTTGTGGTCTTGGCAATTCGGTTGCAGTACAACTACAAAAATGTAGAGTCGCAATGCAGAAAGATTAAGAAACGCTGCTCTCTATAGTTTCTAAATATAAAAATAAAGTAATAATATTATTTCAAGTAATAGTTTAAGGTATGTAGTTGACGTCTTGATAAAAATACTTACACAAGAAACTTTTTTAATTCTTTAAAAATGATAAGATTATGCAAATTAAATTTACATTTGCAAGTTATCATTTGTGAGTACTTTAGTGAGGGTATTTTTGTACAACATTTTTCAATGGGAATTCTATTTAGCATTCGTATGTTGAATTTTAATAATTGACAGATTAATTATAATTCTTCAAATAATATTAGTTGATGTCTAATTTAATATTTGAATTATTTAAAATTTTCAGGTAAGTAAACGGAAATATAGTGGTTCTGTCTTGTATTAATTGTTATTATAATAACAAATTAATTTTAATTTAGAACATTTCTTAATTTTAAGTTTTATTGTGGATAAGTCAACGAAAACAAATTCAATAATAATATATTTTTTTAAATAAATAACAACAATTAATAATTCTAATTTTTATTATTAAGGCCAAAATCCGCTAAAACGTTCGGGAGTTTGACACTGTCTGGACTTTGATATATACCCAAATTGTGTTCTCTAGTGATATCTGCGATCTTATTATATCTTATTCCAATCAATCAATATAATTTAGTTAATTTGATTCATAGTAGTTTCCGTTTAGTTATTATATGTTTTTTCCATTTAAGTCTGCGATTTAAAATTATACCCAGGTATTTGGCATCATCAGCTTCTGTGATAACATTATTATTTAAAATAACTGGAGGACAGATTCCTTCTTTTTAGGGTGAAAGTTACGTGACTTGATTTTGGTTCATTTGTTTTAATTCGCCATTTTTTTTAACCATTCGTTCAAGCTGTTTTGATGTTCTTTTATGGCAAGTATCGGGTCTATATTTGATGCCAAAATTGCTGTATCATAAGCATAAGCCGCAACTTTAGTTTTTGCAGTTGTTGGTAGTTGGTAGTTTTTGCAAATGTATAAATTGTATAAAGCAGGGGTCCCAGTATACTTTCCTGTGGAACGCCTGATTTGATTGGAAATAACTTTTGTTATCATATTTTCAATTCTAATTTGGAACAGTCGATCGCATAACAATGATTTCATTATGTTGAAAAACGTGTGTGGTAATAATTTTGTGATCTTATATAATGAACCCTTATGCCAAACTTTTTCGACTGCCTGCGTAATATCTAAAAATGCTCCTATGCAATAGCTTTTTTCTTCCAGTGTTTGCCTGATCTTGCTGGCTACTCTATGGATTTGTTCAATGGTGGCGTGTTTTCTACGGAATACAAATTTTGTTAAAGGTTAAACGTTATCAGGTAATTGGTATACAACCTCTATTACTTTTTTTAAATAAATTGTTTGTCATAATCATTTATATGAACATTGAATTATTACAAACATTTATGTGTTTATTGAAAATATTTCCAAAAAAATATAATTTTGTTACACATACTTTATTTAAATTAATTAATTATAATGCATATATCCAATATCCAATTAAATACAGAAAAAACTCACATTTACAAAAACAAATTATAGAAGTAAAAATAAATGTTAACATATTCTTTTTATTTTTTGCTACCGAATACAAATTGCTTACATAATTTATACACAAAAAATATAAATCATGCATGCATTCTCTCCAATATTATCTGGGCTTGGCGATTGAAGTCAGTTAATACTAACTAAATATCCTGCGAGTTTCGTATGAAATTAGTGTGGGTTATGATTAATTAATTAAATGTTAATTTATTGGTAAAGGAGATCCCGTGGAATTGGTACGCGCATGATTTATGGGTCCATTAATTTGATGCTTATCGGAGAATAATTTTGTATGGTATTTATGGTATTTAGAGTATATTAATCACGAAATATAAATCAGAAAATTCGGTTAAAAAGCTATTAAATCAATTAGCCGAGGTGGCTCTAAATAAATTATTGAACTAATTAATCTTCGACCACAACATTATGTGTATCACCTTGTGCTCCAAGGTCATTCGTGCTTAAATGTTATCTTTCAATTTTGCATAAGTTAATTAATATTTGCCTTCTTTTTTCCACCTGTTATATAAACGCATCTATGAATTTTAAAACTGACTCGATGTTAAAAGCAATTCAATAAAACTCAAAATACCATTAATCAAATTTGTATACCTTTCGTGTTACCATGAATCCATTCACTTTAATTATTGTTTGTTTAACAATAATTACATTTTTCTATAGCAATTAATTTATTAACAAATTGCTTAACTCAACTGAATATGTTAACATTTATATTGCAAAATGCTGAATTGTAAAATACCTGATTTCTAAAGGAAGTAATTAAAAATCGCAGTATTATATTCATATACAGTCATACCTAAATTAGCAAATAGGATTCGTTTAACGAAATTTAGTTTTCTAAGGTAAAATACTATCACCAGAATTATTTCGTAATTATTTTTTTTTTGAACCAAGAAAAGTTTTACTTACGTACGAAATAAACTCACATTTAATATAAATTTAAATATATATTATTTAACAATAATCGCTTGAGAATAACGCTTCTTTTTACCTTCGTTTGTTCACATTTTTTCGGCAAGAATTTCTTTAATTTTGTTTTACTTATTTTTGCCTTGTTTCTAACAAGGTTATCTAAATTTACCACTTAAAAACCACCATTCAATAAATTCTAGCATCATCTTCAAAAACATTTTGGGATAATATTAATTGCATTTCTCTCTTTTTTTTTATGTCGTATAATTTTATTTACAATCTGTTCATCAATGTGAACATTGAGTAAATTTAAGATCGCGGTTGACATTAGGTAGGTAATCTTTCCCGGTGGATAGTTACCATTATGATGATTTAATAATTTTATTTTTAATTTGTTATTTGGTTTTCGTCTTGTAGGTTAAGTTCAGTAGTATATTGATGCTCTCCGATTCCACTATTTCCTTTGACTATGAATCTGCTGCTATCCTTAATACTGACATTGTCCATCGACTTGGCTAAAGGTTTATATACTAAACCTCATTCATTTGTCCATATGTGATAAACGATGGCCTTTCAAGTACCGAGAGGGCTCACATCGTGGGTAGAGCAATTAGTCGCACTGTTTATTAAATATAACAAAAGTAGAACACATTATCAATTTATACAATAAACACATTGATTTTATTACTCAAAACAGTCTGGGCAATGTTAGAGCAACTACAACAACTTGGTCTTTTGCATATGTCACAAAACGTTGTTGTTTTCTTGTCGCTCTTATTTGGACAAAAGAAACACCACTTGCTTGTGAGTGTAGAAAATCATTCATTAGGTTATGTTTCAACATATATTTTAATCTGCATGATAATTGCAATCAAAATTCTAATATTTCGAGAAATGTTTTGATTGAATATTCGATCATGCGTATATGATTCAACCAATTTAACGTTGTATCAAAGGTACCTAAATTCTGAGGATTCATATATAACTTTACTGTTGACATCAGCAATATTTAATATGCAATGAAATTTAGGCATTGGTACATTTTTCATTGAGTGCATTCAAAACTACTTTAGTCTCATTTTAGAAATGTATGATATCAGTTTTTATTTTGTATTTTCATTTACAGTATTAGTGTGAATTATCAGAATAACTGATTTTCCCCCTTTTGGTACATGGGAAACCAGAGTTAATCCACTTTGAAATCCAAATATTGAAGATATTTCTACAACGTAGTTGCTCTAAATGGGTCACTTTGACCCGAAATACACTCTACAATAAAATAAGTACATTAAATCGCGATCCATCCGTAGCACTTACGTGTTATACCCATACTGTGCAATGGTATTCCTATATTTGTATTATAAAAATAACATAAATACTTAATATTTCCTTATTTCTTGGTTGCCGCTGCTGCAAATAAGATTTTACTGCAACTTATTTATGAATACATTAATATTCGATAAATAAATGATGTCTTCACTTTATAGCAGTCACAAATCATGACGTGAAGACGTATCCAATGTGGCGATGTTTCGGTATTAAAATAACTCTACTTCATTTGCACACACGTATTTATGTATTCAGACTAAACGGACAGTTTAAAATTTACCTATAGCCTCTAACCAGATTTCAGA